GCCCCCAGGAAGCTCACAGGAGGCCCCAAGAGTGCCCCAAGAGGCCCTCCTCTTCCTCCTCTTGTTTCCTCATCCTCCCCCTCCTCCTCTTCTTGATCCCTCACGCGTTCCCCGAAGTCTTTCCAAACCGACTCGGGGAACAACTGGCCCGATAGGTTGGCCAAGCTCTGGCCCAGCTGTCGGCCACAGAGGCGCTTTCAAAGGGGCAGGGGGCGGCGGTGATTCGCCGTAGGCGTCTTTGATATAGAATGCGAACTCACACCAGAAAATGCTGTGCATCCAATGCTGCGAAGACAAGGTAGCGCCTGCATGGTCCATGCCTGGAAGCCAAAGAGTGCGATGCCCATACATTCGATGAAATCGCGCCAGCACATCCTGTCCGCGCCAGCAGAACACCAAGGCGATGCACGTTGCAAAGGGTGGCAGCAAACGGCTAGAACATTCCCCAAGCAGTGACACGACTGACGTCGTAGTACCGCACGCGGAAGGCCCCTCAAAACCCCTAACCTCATCACAATTCTTCATTGCGACAACCTTAGTTTCGAGCGTCCGCGAACGGATTATCCGCTGGCGCGGACCCCCGCTCCCCTTCACCACGAAGCGCGCTGGTTGCCGGAACGGGAGTCTGTGTCTTGGCTCTGTTGAGTAGGACGGCAGCATCTCTGGAAGGAAGATGACTGATCAAAGAGGTACGATCAAAACTGATAGTAAGGATGCGAGAGAAGGATGCAAATCCCTTGGACGCGCATGTCATAGCTTCTCGAGTGGGGCTGGCCATCGAAAATGCTTAGGGATGGGCCGAAGAGGCACGGTGGCACGGGTACCCGTGGGGAAAGTACCCATTCTTACCACCGGTTTCGACCATAGTGGAAGCCGGAGACGAGCGAACTGCTCGTGTGCGGGGCGATCCTGCAGGCTCGCGAACATGGCGTGGCCCATGTGCAGGCGCCCTGCGGTAGGGCGCGCCGGCGCCTCCCCCAGCAGTTCTCCCTCCGCTGCTCCTCCACATCCTTCTGGAGCTAACCAGCCAGAAACTTATCTCAGCGGCGAGCTGGGGGGAGACGTGAGAGGGAGAAGGCCTTCTGAGAAGGCTGGAAAGACCCCCGGCCTTCTGAGAAGTGTTCTAAGCCTGTCCCGAAGACACAGAAAACCTTTCCATGGCGCGATGGCTTCAGAGAAGTCCCGCCGCCATCTGGGCAAGCCTTCTCCTCCTCACTTCCCCCCCTCGCCCGCCGCCGATTATCTAAGACGAAGCCAGGGCGAGGACAGGATCGGGCGAGGACGAGTCGAGAATCTCTGAGATCCCGCGGCGAATCCGAAGTCTGAAAGCAGTCAAAACACCAACCGAGGCAGGGCCAAAGAGATCACCGCGGCCCTCGGGTCTGAAGCCTCCTGGGTCTGAGGCCTCCCGAGCACACAGTGAAGGCCAGTCCTTAAGAAACCTTCCACAAAACACCAAACCCTGAGACCCCAGGAGGTCCATTGATCTTTGATGTGGGAACGTCGCGTTTTCCATCGAAAAACCATCGAAACCCAAGAAACCCAGGGCACCCCGGATGCAGGCAGCGTGTTTCTTGGCATGGGCCTCCACTGCATTCCTTCACCAGCGCCCCCACCGTATCCCTGGGATCGGCAAGCCAAATGCGATGACAATCTCAAGGGTCTGTCCTCAGCAACGGAGGGTATCCTCAAGATCGTCACCGAGGTCAGGTCGTGCCAGGCAGAAGGACAAGGAGATCTCGGTTGACCCAAAGGGGGTCCAGCTGAAAAGAGGTGATGCAATAGATTTGGGACCATTGTACTGCAAATGGATTGCGCCAGAGGAATGTCTTGCACTGTATTGCAACTAATGCATTGCATGCGAAATCCAGCAATACACGCGCGCTTCGGAACGTATTGCACAACCCAAATCGATTGCAACTCCACAAATCTATCGCCCCAGATTTATTGCACCACCCTCCCGTAGCTGGACCTCCGTTTTGCGCCCACCAGAGGTACAGCCGACCCACATCATCAGGATGCGCGGCAAGGATGCAGGGGCCCTGGAGAGCCAAGTGGACGTTTTTCGAACGAGGTTGGCCAACGAAAGTCGCCAAGGATGGGCCGAAGTGGCAAGGATGCAAGGCTACCCTTGGGAAAATTGCCGATCCGTACTATGCGGGTTGACTGTATGCTTCAAACCAGGAGGGTCCAACATCGAATCGATAAGTCGGATCGGCGATCGACATGAATCGGATCGGCAGACATCGGCAGCCGAGTCGGGAGAAGTCGAATCGGCAGAAATCGGCAGGCGAGTAAGCCTCCAATGAGCAATCGGAGTCCAGATCGGAACCCCAAGTCGAATCGAATCGGAATCGGAAGCCATCGCAATCGAATCGAATCGAACCGGAGGAATCGACACGAGCCCTGCAAGGGCACCCTCGGGGAAATGGTCCGTCCTCACTGTGCGGGCTGGCCCAGTGCTTCGAACTTCACTGGTCAGGAGCGGCCCGCCCTTCTTCGAGCAGGGACCGACCGTCCCGGTATTCCAGAAATCTTCTAAGACAATATCAGCCAGACCTGTTCCAAGACAACATCAACCCGATGTGTTAAAACAAGACAATATCGACCAGACATGTTCTGAGAGCATTTCGTGGAAACCACAAAGGTTCTCAGAACATTGCTTGGTAGGGCTACCGGCGAGCCAGGACGCGTCGCCACTGCCTGAGACTTCCCCCTCCGCGGGGCCCGGGGGGCCGCCCGGAGTCCCCCGGAGGTGCGCCGGCGCCCGCGGGCTCTGCCCGCGCTCGGGCGCAGCACCCTCGGGCGGCGGGGCTGCCGCGCCTCCTCGCGCCAGCGGCAGCGCCGGCGGCAGCACCGGCAGCCGACGATCACAGCGACGCCGACCACGGCGATCGCAGCGGCAACGGCAACGACACCGACCACAGCGCCTCCTCGCGCCAACGGCAGCGACAGCGGCAGCACCGACAGCCGACGATCACAGCGACACCTGGGGGGCCAAAAATAATATACACCGCCACCACCTCCCTCCCCCCCTCCCTCTCGCTGGACAGAGGGGAGAGGAGGAATCGACGTGGTGGTGGTGTGTATTCTTCGGGCCCCCAACACCGACCACAGCGATCGCCACGGCAACGAGGATGGCAACGATCGAGGATCACAGCTGCCCTCCACATCGGTCCCCTTCCTCCGCATCCGCATCCGCATCCGTCCCCGGCCCGTCCTTGCGACCCCGCTTCCTCCTCAACTGGGAGGCACGGTTCGGAATGCAAGCTTCAGCTGGCAACGACGCAGGACTCCGATGGAACTGGACAAGCTTCAGATGACGACGGAACGGGCGCAGGTCCTGTGACGTTCGGCGGCGGCATCGGGAGCACGTAGGATTCGTGTCCGCCCTGTCCAGGAGGGATCTTGTCCGCAACCTGCAAGATCAGAAGAGACGGTAAGGGATGTGGGCAGGAGAAGAGGAGGGCGAAAAACTGCCCAGGGCGTGGACAAGGAGGCGGACACGGATCAGGAGCAAGACGAGGCCAGAACTCGGACGAGGACAACGAGGAGGACACCAAGGAGGATACCGAGGACGGCACGATATGGACTCTGTACATAACTGAATATTGCGACGACTCCCCTCCAGCTCCACGGACGGGCGGAGGAAACACCAACCTTCACCTAAACTCGTGATGTCCCCATCGTCCACCTTCTCCTCCTCCTCCTCCTCCTCCTCCTCCTCCTCCTCCTCCTCTTCATACTAACCCTCCGCTGCTCTCTCCTCCTGGCCCCCGGCCGCATCCTTCTTCCTCATCCCTCCGACTCCGCCTAGGCCGTCCTCATCCTGCGCTCTCCCCTGCCGCTTCCCCTCTCTGCATCCCCTACTCCTATCCTCGGGTTGGGCGAAAGGGGGGGATAGCAAAGGGGGGGTTGAGAATCAGCTCACGTAGCTGATTTTCCCAGCGCCCACCGGCGCCGGAGGCGGCTATGTATCGAGGAATGGGCCCCTCGGTGAGGCCGAAACCAGCTGCATGCAGCAAATTTCGTAACCCCCCCTTTTCCCAATCCCCCCCTTTCGCCCGGCCCGATATCCCTCTTGCCCATCCGCCCTCACCCTCCTTAGTATCGCCCGCGTCCCCCTCCTCCGTCTCCCTCCGCCTTCCTAATTTCTGATCTCGTTCCTCGCCTGTGCTCTTCCTCCTCGCCTCCCATCGCTCCTCCCCCCTCTCTCCCCCCTCCAGCTCCAACTCGTTGCCCGCTCCCTCAAGCTCGGCCCCCTCCTCCCCCCCAAACCTCAGGGAACAGTCAAGAGGACTCAGTGGATCGCACAGGAATCGAACAGTATGAGAAAGAAGCGTCGGGGATCAACACACGTCAAACACATAAGACACTATTATGACCCGCGCAAATATCCTGGCGCCCGGTATATGCTCTGACGTAAACCCATGGGGTGCGAGGTCCCAACCCAATGGGTGCAGGCTGTGAACTATAAATATGTGGTGTGGCATACGGAGTTCCGTCCATGATGTCCCACTTCTGGGGAGCGGGGCAGCGTTTTCGGCGCGCCCCCAGGCGCCCTCGGGAATCCCCGCGTGACTCCCCGACGCCACCAAAAACAATGCAAAACCCAAATATGTTGAATCTTGTTGGCCATGTTGTGCCAATATGGTCCCCGAGACCGCCACGAGGCCCCAGGGTCGCCCAAGAGGCTCCACCAGGTCCCGAAGCAGCTTCCAAGAGGACCCCGAAGCATCCCAAGAGACCTGAGTGGGCATCCAAGAGGCCTATGAACCACAACTCAGGCACGGCGAATGATATGAGAGTCATGATGAAACTGCCAAGGAAGAAGTGACCTCCTTCTGGCCCGGAATGAGCCTCGGTATGGACAACCGCCGAGTGAGCGCCAGGTCATGATGTCCCAAGCCCACGGGATGACGACGGGTGGGAGGCATAGCGCGAGGGGAAGAGCGAGGGGCAAAGGAGATTCTGGGGAGCTCGGGCTGAGAGATGGACGAGACGGAATCGGAGCCCCTTTATCCACCCCGAGCCCCGAGCTCTGCCGCAAAGGACCCCGTGGACGCCGCGAGGCAGCCCGGGCAGTGGCGCAGGGGGCCGTGGACGAAGGCGTCGCAGGACACGCAGAAGCTCTGCCCGCAGGCCGGGCAGCGCCTCTCCGCCGCCGAGGCCTGGCAGCCGAAGCACACCGCGGCCCGCGGGGCGCCGCCTCCCGTGCCCGCGCGGCACTGGAACGCAGGCGTGGGCAGCAGGTGCGTGAAGGCGCGGGCCATGAGGGGGGCGCTCGCCAGTGGGAGCTCGCACACGTGGCACCTGCTCGGGACCTGGCACACGCGGGTGAGGCACTGCGGGCACGCGAAGAGGCGCGCACGCAGCCGCTGGTGGCAGGCGCACACGGCTGGCAGCGCGTCCCCCACGAGCTGCCGGGGGAAGCCCATGCGCACCAACTTCGGCGCCACTCCGCGCGCGGCACAGGCGGGTGCGGGCGCGTGGGCGCCCAGAAGCTGCTCAAAGTGGGCGGCGTCGAGCGCCACTGTGAGGGTGCCACCCGTCTTCACGCAGGCCCGCCGCAGCACGTGCAGCTCCGGGCTCATCGACACCACTGACACGCGCACGCGCCGCTCGGCCAGTGTGGACAGGAGGCCGTCGACGGGGGTCTCCGCGGGGTCGCTGGTGGACAGCGACGAGAACAAGATCACCGCCTCACGGGTGCCATACGGCGGCATGGACTCCAGACCGGTCAACAAGCGCTGAAGGCCGCTGGTGACGCACATGCGGCCGCGGGCGCCGTCGGCGGCAGCAGCCTCCAACCTCGAAGTGAACTCCTCGCAGCTGCTCGTCAGGGGCGCCACTGCCTCGCAGGTGCCGCCACGCAGCACACCGAGGCCCAGCTCGGCCAGCGGGCTCTCCTCCAGCAGGCGTGCGGCGAAGCGCGCAGCGGCCGCGACGGCGAACTCGAGACGGCGCGGCTTGTAGTCGGGCTGCCTCGACGCATCGGTCATGTCCACCAGCACGTACACGAACCGGATCACCCCGCGCCGCACCGGCGCCTCGCTGGCTGCGTGCTCGGCCGCGCCGGCGCCAGCGGCGGCCTGCTGCCCGTGCTGCCCGGCGCCGCGGCCCTGCGAGGCGCAGCCGGCCGCTGGCGCGGCAGCTCCGCCGGTGTCCGGGGCAGCGCCGGCGGCAGCATCTCCCAGCAGCGCCTCCCAGCGCCAGGCCTGCGCCGCCCGGGTGGCACGAGCCGCGGCCCGGTCTTCCTCGTCGCCGTCGTCGCCTTCTGCCACGTCCTCCGCCTGGGAGGCCATCCCTCGGCGCCGCGCGCCTGCTGCAGCAAGGGGAGGGGGCGAGGAGGAGGTGGCGTCCACGCAGCCTCGAGCCCCAAGCGGGTGAACGCACTATCAGGACGCATGATCCGCAGACCCAGTGGGCAAGTGGGCGTGTGGAAGACGCTGTTCTGATGGACTCGTCGACGCCGTCGTCGTCGTCGTCGTCGTCGTCGTCGTCGTCGTCGTCGTCGTCGTGGTCGTCGTCGTCGTCGCCGTCGCGTTTTTTGACCCCCCTTTCCAGGGGCCCGTCGCAGCTCTCCCCCCCCCTTTCACTGGGCTCCTCCTCGAGCAAGCCAGCCAAAGCGAAACCAAAGCGAAATTGAGAAACGTCGTTCCCCCAGAGAGGGGGGGGTCCCGGGGGGGGGGGTCATGGAGGGGGTCCCAGGGGGGATCCTGGGGGCGGCATCCTCCCCCAGGGGGTCCTGCATGGGGCGGGGCCCAAAAGAGGCCCCAGAACAGCCCGAGAGGCCATCAAGACGGTCCCAGAGACCAGAGGGCCCCGGATCGCCGAACAATGGGTCCAAGACGCTGCAGAAGATGGCCTTATGACAACCCAAGCGGCCACCAAGACGCTCGAAGGGAGGCCTCCAAGAGCACAGCACGAGGTCCCAGCAGGCAAAATCATATGATTCTTTGGTCATATATATACAGGTATTCTGGTGTTCTCGCCTTTTCAACTTCCCGACGCCCCAAGACGCCCCTAGATGCCACCAAGATCGTTATAAGAGGCCCCCGAATAGGTTTCCAAGATGGCCCAAAAACGACCCAAGAGGGCCCCAAGACGACCTTAGAGGCCTCCCAGAGATGCCCGCCCGACGTCAGCGTCGTCGTCGCCGACGCCGCCGTCATGGTCGTCGTCCCCCCGGGATCGCTGGCACCAGCCGTAAGGCCTTCCCAATGAAGATGCGCGATAAGGATGCAATGGCTTCGGAGGGCCATGCGGACACTTTGCGGGCGCGGCCAGCGAAATCGGCCAAGGATGGGCCGAATAGGAAGGATGCAAAGCAGAGGCAGAGGCAAGTCTGGCCGGGCGACTCCAAGAGCCGCACGCCCCAATGATGGTAACGAGAACGAAGACTGCGAAACGACAGAGACGACTACCCGTGATACATACTACAAACACACCCCTCAGAGACAGACTGCTCGACGTCGCTCGCGGCGATGCCTCCTCGCGGTTGATGGCTCTCACACACTTGCTGCGTGGGTTGACCGCGCGAAGACGCGGCGGGCCTGCGAGGTCATCCGCCCCGGGGCCACGAGGGCCCCCATCGGAGGCATGACTCCACAGGGAGGAGAGGCAGGGAGGGGGAGAGGCAGGGAGGGCACCTGTGGAGAGGAGGAGGAGGAGGAGGAGGAGGAGGAGGAGGAGCAGGAGGAGGAGGAGGAGGAGGAGGAGGAGGAGGAGGGAGGAGGGAGGAGGGAGGAGGCTTGGAAAATTGCTCACACCCTTGCGGCGTGGGTTGACCGCGCGAAGACGCGGCGGGCCTGCGGGGCCATCCGCCCCGGGGCCACGAGGGCCCCCATCGGAGGCATGACTCCACAGGGAGGAGAGGCAGGGAGGGGGAGAGGCAGGGAGGGCACCTGTGGAGAGGAGGAGGAGGAGGAGGAGGAGGAGGAGGAGGAGGAGGAGGAGGGAGCAGGGAGGAGGGAGGAGGGAGGAGGCTCTCACCGCCTGGGGGCCGAGACCCCAGCGGCCGGAGCGCGTGCTAGAGGAGCAGCTACGAGCAAAAGCCTTGGGGACATCCGAGGCCTTTACGATGCATCTCTCTCCGCCTCGCCGGTGCATCGCCGATACGTCGCCGATGCATCGGCGATGCATCGGCAATGCACTGGCGACGTTGGCGATGCATCGGAGACGTCGGCGTGGAGAAAATCTGGCCCCACAACGAGCCGCATCGCCGATGCATCGCTGATGCATCGGCGATGCGGCGCGATCCTCCGACCCCATCTAGTCCAACCCCATCTTGGAGGCCTGAAGACATGGACGGGGGCTGAATAAGCAAAAATGCACCGCGTGCTCCTGTCGTGACACCGATGTGCTCAGGTTTCTGACACCGCATGAACAGTCCAATCTTAAACGACTTCCGCTCTTGACCCCCAGAGGCTGTCGACCCATTCTTTCGCACGAGCTTCGCGCCGTGAATGCTTCCTGTGGGTCCTTGGGCCCGAAACGAGCCCCCCAAGGGCATTCAACCTTGAGCGTCCGTGCCAGCGCAATCGCCGCGTCCAGACGCCACGAACCTTCCCTCAGTCTTGATCTTCGAGAAGCCGACCTGCCCCCACCAACCTGATGCGGCGTACCCCTTGGGCGACTGGCTCACGACTTGAGCAGGTCAAGGCGACTGGCGGCGAAGAGTGGTAGCACGTTGAAACTACAGTGACAACCCATAATACAGATGCGAGGTAATAATGCAGTGGGTGTCCAAACTGAAACGGCTTCGGCGACGCAAGGCCGAAACGCCCTAGCATTCAGGGGAGGCCTTGCAGACCCAAGGATGGACCTAAGAGGCCGCGATGCAAGGTAGCCATTCAGGAAGTACTCGTTCCGTTCAGACTGTCAGGGGAGCCATGAAGAGACCGAGGGGGGGACAAAGCGGGGATAGGAGAGGGGC